CTGTAGTAAATACCCTTTCTCTTCTATTACGTGGCCCCTCAAAAGTACTTAATAAATATTTTTGCTTTAATTAACAGTATTTTAAAGGATTAAATGAAAGGGATTTGACTAGATAAATATAAAGAAATCAAATTATTTTTGAGCACTGTACTACGTAGGCTGAAGAAAAAGTAGAAGATGCAGTTCCTTCTACAGAAGGGGCTTAAAATCTTTCCCACAAGAAGTTAATAATCTCATTGGTTAGGTAAAACATGCACAAGAAGTAGCTGCTGAATGAAATTAAAGTGACAATTATTGTATGCAAACAAAAGATACCAAAGAGGTTAGAGATAGATGAAAAGGTATTTAGATTTTTTAAAATCATGTATTATTACTAAGTTAGAGTAGGAGCTTGCATTACCTTTCTTCAGGTATTAGCCTTAGAAAGGCTTTCCTCTGTTGAAAGGAAGCAATTATTTTTCATAGATTCAGTGGCCTGTGATGTCACAAAGGATGTTAAGAGAGACATATAACCCAGAACCCTTGTGAAAAGGTTTTTTTTTCCCTAGTTGGACATTCATGACAAGGCTTTTTTAACTGATGATCATCAGTTGGTAAATTTTAAAAAGGGAATGTGCACGTCTAAAACTTGGTTGCTCCCAAGCAGCAAATGGAAGTTGATTTTTTTTAGGGTTCAAATGCCTAAAATTTAACACAAATGAGACATTTTAAGCCTTGATGAATCCTGAAGATTCTAGAACAGGAATTCTTAACCTGGAATCAATAGAAATCCACAGAGGGATGTTTTAGACACCCAAGGGTCTATGAACTTGGATGGGAAAAAAATCTTTATTTTCACTAATCTTTGGGTTTTCTTTCTGTAATCCTCTTTATTTTATTTATTCATTTGATAATGTGATTCTTAGAGGGATTTTATAGGCTTCAACAGATTGCCAAAGGGATCCACAACACAAAAAAAGGTAAAGAACTCCAGTTCTAGAATATTAGAGAGCTTTAAAATCTTTTTATTTTGATATTAAAAAGTAAATAAGCAAGGAATTCATGCATTTTGTAATCTAGAGAAATATCATTTTGAATTTCAGTTACAGGATAGCTATGGAGAGGTGAAATATACCATACTCCAATTTAGTGCTTATCAGAGAAAATATCAGAGAAAAAAGTAGCATATCGATACTATCTGGAATATTTAGTGTTACCAATTCAAGCCTCAGTAGCCTTCCTCTAATTGGCACTACTTGACAATGACTGTGGCTAGAGCCCTATCTTAGGGGAAAATAAAATGTAGATTCTCTTTACTGTGTCTGTGACCTTGTGCAATTTTGTTCACACTTCTGTCTCAGGTGTTTTTTTTTTTTTTAAATCTGTCAAATGATGTAGATAGAAGACAATGTGGCAAGAGGACTTTTCCTTGAAGAGATATCAACAAGTAAATGTATTAATGCCCATAGCAAGCAGTGTGTCCTTCATTCCCTTTCCTTACTTGCTTTCCAATTGGCTCAACTGATAAGCCTTCCCTTCCCCCACCCCACCTCTTCCCACACACACACACAAAATAGGAAAACTAGTGTGGATGCAAATGATATATGATGCTCTAGACTACAGGAATGAGTATGAATATTAATATTGGTTCACTATCTTAAAATAGTGTATTTTGAGAATACTGGAAAACCCATTAATGAAGAATATAATGTGAATTACTGGAATTGAGTGATAACAGCTTGTAAACTCATACAACCCCATCCTAATGACATACAGAAATTAATTCCATAGCCAAATCTTTTCTGATGTTGCATGCCTAGAGAACTTTATGAACAGTCATGTCATTTTAAAAAGTTATCTTTGATTTTTATCACTTTCATCTTCCAATACCTTTGTACCTCTGCTGATCATATCATTTAAATCAGTTTTGCTGAACAACTTAATAAGTTCAAATTATGACATAGCTGTAGCCTTCACTAAAACATATGCAAGAGTAAAGAAAAAAACCCACCCTTTTTCTACAACTGTGGTGAATTTAATGTACAATAATATAGAATAATAGTCATTTATCCAAAAATTGCCATTTACAATTGCCAGTCTTACTGATAGTTATGGAGTTGGGACAATATTCTTCATCAAATTCATTGATATTCATTCACATTTGAGATTAACATGGAAATATCAATAAAATATCATCAATTAATACAATGATCCAACATATTACATAAGTCTTATAAAAACATTTCCACTTGAATTATTACCATAAACTTATCACATAAAATGAGAACTGAACTTTAAAAGAAGAAAAATATCATTTTATGGGATGTTTTCTAGTTTCTAGGAAAATCCTAATGTTAAGCAATTGTTTTTTCTTACTAGGTATATTGGATGCATTTAGATGATTGCTTGATCCTCCATTCAGTTAACACTGACAAGAGATATGTAAATTTCATCCCACCTCTCTCAAGAGAAACTGCTAGAGTCAAAGTAGGAATATTTTCAGTAAATATCCAATTTTACTTATATGAGCTAAAGGTGAATGAACCCAAATGTTTTATATTTATTCTTAATAAATGTAAGTTTGAAAGAGAAGATTCCTATGCATCATTCCTCAAAATCATAGGTAATGCTTGGAAAATATGGTAAAAACGCAGACATGATCAATTATTAAACAAAATGAATTTAATGTCATTTAAATTGGTATTATAACCAAAGTTGGCATGTTAATGCTTAGATTGTCCATATATCCAAATGATAGAATAATATTATGGAATACAGGTTTCCACAAATACATGTTGATATTTTGTTTTCTCAGATAAACACCACTTTTCCTGTTTCAAAAGAACAGAAAGCAAAACACATTTGTTGAAAGGAAATATTTGCTGAATTCGAATCTTCAGCCTGTGGTTCTACTAATAGTTAGCCTCATTGCTATTAAATGCAGAGAACCAAAAATATTCCTTACTATGTTTATATCATCATGCCAATGATTTTTATAGCACATGGTTGAAATATCCCAAGCAAAAAATGTCCCCCCTTTTAAGAACAGATAGCAGAAAATACTTTTGCAATGACTAATTCTAATAGAAGAGTATATAGAGGATATACTAGTAACTGGGATAATGTGCAAGTTAGCCTCATTTGCCTTCTGTGGTTCTCCCTCCTGAACCAGGAGACAAATAAGTAGAGAAGGATCACCTCTGCTTCTCTATTCAGGCTATGTGTGAGATTTTGTGTGAAGATTATTAATGACTAAAGGTTTAGATAACTACTCTCCTTTATCAACTTTTTTACCTGTGGCCTGTTGATTTGCATAGGTATAGTATAAGAACTAGTTACAATTCCAGACTTTAAAATCCTAGGTCTCCTACTTTGAGGTTTTTTGTTTTTTGTTTTTTTTTTTAACATGCCAAGAAAAGCAACAGTGATCTTAGTTCAGTCCCTAGTGGACAAAAGCAGAACAACAAACCTCGAAGGCATGTTGGAGAAGGCAGTTTACTCAGTAAATGTGACCACACAGACATGCACACAAAATAGCATTCTGTCTTTTCCATCACTTTTCCACTCAAAGGTTTTGAAATCCTAGCTTGGAATCATAACTTGAGAAATCTGGTTGCATTCTGAACTCTGTTTTCTAAGTGATGACATAATTATTGTGATGCCAAATGCCTAGATGCTGGAACACAATCTTCTGACAGTTAAAATATTTTGATGAAACCTGGAGATAGTATTATGGCCAATCTGACACATTCAGTAAAAATCCTCTCCTGCCACACAAAGAAAACCACAGTATATGACACAGCCATTAAGGTAATACTATTTGAGAGGTATCTTCTTTTAAGACCCTCAAGTAGCTAACCTCCTGTGTCTAGACATATCCACTGATTCAATATGATTTTGAAGACTAGAATAATTTCACTCAATATTTGCCCCAAAGGAGGTAATCGTATTATCCAAACCTCTATAATCTTGCTCACTAGAAGTATGCCTAACAGTTGTGCCAAAAAAAAAAAAAAAAAAAAGAGGAAGTATTACTCCAGGATTGAAGAACTGATACACACTACATCCCATCCTCTGCAGGTGCACTGCTAAGTTAACAACCAATAGCTGCTTGATTTTCCATTCACGATTCTGGCAGATAACCCATCCCTAATGACTTCTACCTTAAAACCTCTGATTTTACTGTTTTCTCAAACCTAGAATTATCATAGAACAGAAATGGCTACATTACCCTTCAGGATCATCTCTAGAAATTAGACCTTTGCAATTCTTACTATTTTCATTATCCATTAGTACACTTTGCAAACATTCTTACTTTATATTTATTTATTCAGAAGTCAAAAGTTAATTTATGATACTTTTTCTTGCAGATACTCAAAGAGATTTGATATAAAGTGTATTTGATTTTCCTCCTTCAACCTCCCCCCTACCATAAAAGAAAAGGTTGTAGTCATTCCCCCCTCCCCCCCAAAATAAAACTTTTTAGGAGTTATTGCTTTTCAATTTAGGTGCTGACAGTCAGAACATGGAGGCATGTTTCAGTGACATTTATTCCGAAGTCTTAAATGAGAAGCAGATTTCCAAACTTGTGCCATCATTGACAGCTCTGCGGGGACCACGGTACACCTGGGCTAAAAATCTCTGCAAACTCAACAGCTCTACGATCTGTGACACCCCCCCCCCTTCCCCCTTCGCTAGCCAGGACAAGCTGGAGCAGTCTGATTCCCCTGCTAAGGAAGTCCCATACAGAAAGCTGCCCCGCAGTTCACTTGCGCGACTGTCTTCCCCCAAGCAACATGTAAACAAATATTCCCTTCCCAGCCAGCCACCCCTTCCTCCCCTTTTCTGCCACCATGCTGAGCAAACTGTAACTTTTCAGCAGGGCAAGCCTGGATAAAGGACTCGAGTACAATGAGAAACTGAAAGCAAGCACTTACTTTTTGCAGCCACTGAGTATAGTTTTCCATCACATGTTCCAGATGTTGCAGTTTCTGGGAAGAGAAATCCGGTTCCATGAGAGGAGCATCTCTCTGCAGCGCGTTGGTGTTGTACTGGTCCGTGGTGCTCTCCCGGCAGTTAGTGTCCTGTTCCGGCAGAATGAAGGTATAGGCGCACTGTCCGTGCTGAATCCGATTATATCTTCGCCCGCTGCTGTCCGGGCTTCTCCGTTGATTACTGCACCCTATGTGAGTTAGAATAGCAGCCAGAAAAGCAAAGGAGAGGAAAACTGTCATGGTATCAGCACCTTCCTTGTCTGCCTCTGCACAACTTTTTTTTTTTTTTAAACCTACCCCCCTCCCCCAGTTACTTCTTCCTTCGTTCTTTAACCAATATATATATATAATATATATATTTATTTATTGCATGTAAAAATACTTTTTGGTGTTTTTTTTTAAATTAGTTCTGAAAGAAGAATCCTAGAAAACGATTCATTTGGTAACTTTAGCTAAAAACCTTTTTAAAATTTATTTCACTGGAATGATAGTTCCCTTCGTTAAAAGTTGAGATATTTATTGCATAGTAGCGGAGATTTATTGTTTCCTTTCTGTGTAACAGTTCAGCACTCAGCCTGTTGTAGTCAGCAGCATGTACACATTCTAGCCCCTTGCCTCTACCCTATCTGCAGCCGAACTGCTACTTTTCCTCCGACTTCAGTGAGTTTTATTAAGGTTCCGCTTCCCAGCCAAGCTGGAAGTAGGCAGCCTTTCACAAGATGATTTGACAGGAATGCCTGAGTGTGCCCCTATGCTAAGGACTGCCGACAGCTTAGTTCGAGAGGGATCGTCTTACAAATTGGCTGGATGCGCATGACCTCAATCATGTATAGCCGCCCGCCCAGCCCCTCCTGCTCGAAAAACAGCGCTGAGCCTTTCAGGGACTCGCATAGAATCGAAGCGTACAGCAGTCCACCTTAACATACTTTGGGTGTTCCAGCCCCGACCTATTACAATCTAGCATTCTAACAGTACCTTGTAAGTTCTAGTTAAATATTGGGAGCCCTGAAAGAAAATTTCTTCCATACTATATAGCCTATGCTTGAGGAATTCTTTTGGGCAATGTTTATTAAATTTGTATTGTTTCTAAAAGTTTGCTAACTTAAGATTTTTTTTTAAAATCCATGAAATCTTTTTTTAAAAGTTTAATCTTATTGAATGTATTAAACTTTCAGATGCCAAAGAAAATGGGGGAGGAGGGCCCGTGGGAATTGAGTATAATGAGTTAAATCACTGTATATCTTGTTCCTCAATTCCTCACCCCCAAAATGCATGTTAAATAGGATAAGCCCCCTGTGGGGTTTTGTGGAGGTTTTTGGGGCCAGGGAAGTGGGGGTGTCTTTTTTAAGAAACTGCCTACTCAGAAGGCAGCTCTCTTTGTTCTGTGTACATAAATGAAGCAACTTCCTTGCAAAAACAATGTGGTAACAATTTAGGAGAGTGTCCTAAGAATTATTAATTCCTGTGGTATGTCCTAATCATGTATATCACAAAGACCTCATTGGGGGTTGCTATGGTTCTCCCTAGCTCTACTATCCAAGTTCCACATAAATCCTTATTATGGCTGTAGTGACCTCCTTGCCAGAGATCTTACAGCAAGAAGGGCTGGTAGCTCAAGATAGCTCAGTAGCAAGAGAACTTAGATGCACCTTTTAATGAAGGAACAAGGTTTAAAGGAAAAAAAAGTTCCAAGAAGATAGAGCATAAACTTTCCAAAACAAATAATAAGCAGTGAAATGTAAAGTATAAGTGATACTAAAGGAATTTTAATCAGACATGTAAGAAAAATGGATTTGGTATAACACCATCAACCAGTGAGCATGATGCAGTGGAAAGGGAAAGTTCTGGAATCAGAGGACCTGGGCTCAAATTCTGGCTTACCCCTCACTACCTCTGTGACTCTGGACAAGTCACAATCTCCCTGGGCCACAGTTTCCTCATCTGTAAAAAACCAACAGTTGGATTCAATGGACTCTAAGGTCCCTGACAGCTCTAAATCTGTGATCCTAGGATTTTAAAGGATTTATAAACAATGCATCACCACAACTGCAAACATATCTTAAGAATAGGGTGCCCTGACTTAGATTTCTCTTTCTGTAAGCAAAAAAGAGTGATTAGGTTCTTCAGATGAGAGAGCAAGAGAAAGAAGATGAGGCAGAAGGGAGTTAAAGACAATGGTTATGGCTGACTCTTTTGGGGTTTTCCTTGACAAAGATACTGGAGTGGTTTGTCATTTCATTTTCCAGTTCATTTTATAGATGAGGAACTGAGGCAAACAGGGTTAAGTGACTTTCCCAGTAAGTGTCTGAGGTCATATTTGAACTCAGGTCTTCCTAGCTCCAGGCCCAAGGCTCTGTCCAGTGCACCAAGGGTAGGTGTAAAAGTGTGGGGATAGTTTGCATAAAGGAAGGATTAAGTGGAGAATAACAGTCAAAACAAACTCCATGCTTTGTGAAAATGGTACTAGGATTTATCCCTTCTTACCATTCCTTAATAACAAATCCTTGCTGGTATAATCAATATAGAAACAAGCTATGTCATGACATTTAAAAAAATAAGTTATGGCAGTAAAAATCCCTTTACTTTCTTGGTCAACATCTTAGTTCTGTCTGCTTTTGCTGAGATTTCACATACATAAACAAGAACTACCACTATATTGGGGTGCTAGGAGGCACAAAAAGGATTCAGGCTGGATGACGTTATAGTCTCATATCTTCAAATAGACCCTCATGCTTAAAGCAGTATATGTGCTATTACCTGAAAAAGAAAAGTTTCAGTTAAATGTATTTTGAAAATAATTTTTTTTTTTTTGCAAGGCGGTTGGGGTTAAGTGACCTTCCCAAAGTCACACAGCTAGTGAGTGTAATATATATGAGCAGGATTTGAACTCGGGTCCTCCTGACTCCAGGTTTATTATTTATTGCACAACAATAAACCTTTCCTACAGGGAATTGTAGCATGGAGGAAAAAGCACTGGGCTCCAGAATCACAGTTGTTATTCAATTGTTTCCAACTCTTTGTGACCCTGTGGCTATAGAACACCAATACTGTCCATGAGGTTTCCTTGGCAAAGATACTGAAGTGCTGTGACATTTCCTTCTTCAGTGAATTAGGGCAAATAGGGGTTAAATGACTTGCCCAGGGTCATATAGCTAATAATTGTCTGAGGCTGGATTTGAACTCAGGTCTTCCTGATTTCAGGTCCAGTGCTCTATCTACTGCTTCACTTAGCTGCCTTCCAGAATCAGAATATTATATTCAAATCTTGCCTGTGACATTCACTACTTTGTGACCTTAAACCTAAATTTATGGTTCTTAGTTTCCTGAGAGGTTATTCTATATGACCCTTTAAAATCCATTTCAGCTCTAGAACTATGATCCTATGATTAAATTTTTGAGGAGGAGAGGGAGATCCCAAATACAAAAAATAGTATGGCAAAACAAAGATTTTCTAAGACATCTTTCCAATTATCTTTGCTTTGAAAGTTATTCATGGAAAGAAGAGACTCCAAAACTAACACCTCTAAATGCTTTGCTAAGAACAAAATCCAACAAAAAATTGGCAGAGGATAAAAGGATGATCAATAGTCCTCACTTATAATGCTCCCATGTATTTAAATAGCCAATACTTAACATCTGTTTTTGTATGTGTGTGCGCATGTGTGCTCACATGCTTGTGTGTATTCATTTGTCTTATCTGAATGAATGATAAGTGGGAAATTCCCAGTGTGGCGTAATAAAAAATGGATATTCCAAAAACAGGCATCCCTAACTGCTGTGGTTTCAAGGGAAGAAAGTAGAGAGGAAACACTCAGAGCATTTGAAGATATGGCTGTCTCTAAGTCTTCTTGATTCCCCACTTGTGCCTCATGCATCCTTCTCCTCTCCATTCATACAACCACCACTCAGATTAAATCCTCAGCACCTCTCACCTTGACTATTTCAGTAGCCTCTGGTTTCCTCTCCTTGCTGTACTCCCAGCCTCTCGCCTCTGTAGTCCATCTTTCATACATTTGCCAAAATGATCTTGCCGTAATACCTGGGGGCACCTCAATTCTCACAGTGGGTTATCCAAACAAGTTTATCTGAAATTCTAAGCATTCTGTGACTCAATATCTCTTTAAGAGTATATCCCATAAGGGCCCACAAGGGCCCACCAACATGCTTACCTTTTCTAGTTATGCAGAGGACACAAATAGCTCTAGGCAAAGCTTTCAACAAAATTAGGGTACCTTTTAATAAACTAGACTACCAAGCAGTAGAATATTTTACCCATAAAACTGGGAGAGACTCTTCCGAATACTATGTACCATCGATGGGAATTGTAGAGACACATGTAAGAAACACATGGCTGGGAGACATGGGGAGTGGTACAAAGTCAAAGAACAAGTGTGGCCAACTGAGGCTCAGATATGGAGGGATGGTTTATACTTTGGGAGCTGCAGAGTCACAGAAGTATTCTGATGACATCATCACACTGCTGCCACTGATCTCTCTGCTAGGTGTGTCTTCTCTGCCATCTTCGTAGTTTTGGCTGAGTACGTAATTTCTGAGAAGATATGGCATGTGGTTTCTGTTGGGCATTTCTCCTTGCTGGTCTCATATGACACCTACCTAATGGTACCAAAGTTATCCCGTGGTTGCTGCTGGCCCCTGTGAGGCCCAACTCCACTGGACATGAAGCTGTGGAATTTGGCTGTGCTTCTAGCTTCTTGATTCACCTGGAGTCTTTAGCTGAAGTGTTACCTTCCCTAAATAGTCGAAAGCCTAATGGATCCAAGCTTGACCCCCCTCCTCAGTTTTTCAACCTCAGAATTCTTTTGGCCTCCCATGCAAGTAAATGAGAGGGAGAAAGGCACAAGAACAAATACCAAATCGAGGGGCAAAGTTATCATCTTTCTTTTGCCTAGCAACATTCCTGCCTTTGTTAGGTATATATGGTCAGCTCCCTTTCCATTCTTAAAGCACAATCTGACATATTACTCCTCTGCTGAAAAATCTTAAATTATCTCTTATTATAACCTATAGGTCTGAGATTCTTAACCTTTTGTGTGTCATGGACCCCTTTGGAAGTGTGGTAAAGCCTATGGACCCCTTCTCAGAAAAATA